AGGTATAAGTTTAAACTTTTCTTCTTAAATACAAAATAATTTAAAATTTACAAAAAATATCAAAAAATTAAATAGAAAACCTTTAAAATAATTTTTTTTGAAAAATTTGCCCAAAAATATATTATTTTTTAGAACATAAGTTATTTTCCAAAAAAAAATTATTTTGAAGGATTTTTTATTTAATTTTTTGATATTTTTTGTAAATTTTAAATTATTTTGTATTTAAGAAGAAAAGTTTAAACTTATACCTAATCCCTACAAACCTTAAATTTTTCCATCAAATTGTAAATTAATTTAAGTACCGAAGAAGAAACATTAGTTTCGAAACATGTTTATTATTTGAATTAAATTAAATATTTTAGTATTTCTCAAAAAAAGTTTCTACTTTTTCCTATATTATTTTTTACAAAAAAAGTTTATTTAACAAAAATCAGTAATACAAAATACAAAATTAAAAATCTACAATGGTATGATATAATTCGAAACATTCTGGTAGGTGTAAGGGAACATTACATTTCTTACACTCCCACGTTGTTTCTTTACGTTTCTTATTTTTTTGGCAAACTTTACATGGTTTCGATGGTCTCAACTTTGATGTTGTTGGGTCAATGTGTTTTGGAAAATGAGCCCAATGCTTCGCGTGCAGTCTCTCTGGCATATCTCCGGAAGATAATTGTCTTCGTTCTTTATAATATGGTTTTGGCATATTCTCCAATAGAGATTCGGCTATCTTGATTCTATAGTCAACGTAACATTGTTTCTTCCCGTTATTTATTTTGTTGCATAAAATATATGAGTTAAAAAGACCAATATCGAACAGATAAAAAAAAATTTTTTTATAGCCTTTCATGTATTTCCTCATTACTGGAAAGCATGCTAATATTTGGTCTTGGAGATCAATTCCATTCATTCCCTTATTGTACTCTCTAATACAATTTGGTTTTGGAGTACGGTTGAATCCTTGTGTAGTCATTTCGACTGTTTCATGTTTTGTCGTCATAATATAAACATCTCGCTTATCTTTCCATTTTATAGCGAGTATTCCGTTGCAGCTTCTTATTGCATATTCCCCCCTTTTTAATTTTATATTACACAAATCTTTTGGCATATGCTTCCTATTTCCACGTACTGTGCCAATTACATTTGTTTTATAATTAAACGATAATGTCATAAACAATTTTGGGGAAGAATACCAGTTATCTATGTATAAAGTGTGACCCCTGTGCAACACTGACTCAGAAAGCTCTTTCACAACACTTTCCGAAGCGCTACCATCACGGTTTATTTTATCGTGGCCTGTATATATTTTAAATTCATAGCAATAGCCTGAATCGGACTCACACAATTTATAAAATTTAACGCCAAACCTTGCCCTTTTTGATGGGTTAAATTGCCTATAAGATAGGCGCCCCTTGAATTTCATAAGCGATTCATCAATAGCAATGTCTTCTTTCATTATATATACTTCTTTAAATTGTTGGTTTAAAAACTTGATCACAGGTCTAATCTTGCTCAATTTATCTGTATTGGCAACCAGATTATTATTTGCGAAATGCAAACACCTTGTAATTTGCAGATATCTTTTCAAAGGCATTGATTTTCTTAATATTGGCGTTTCGATAACAGCCTTCTTCGACCAATTCATTTGTATTCTTGGTTTTTTTACCTGTGCCATTATTATGGTTAACGCGAAATATCTTTTAATTTCGTTAGAATCTATAGGAAACCAACTGTCGTCGATTTGTCGTGTTCTGCGTGAATTCGTTCGTATTTGATCTGCATACCGGTTAGTTTCGGTTACAATATTTTCCCAGAATACGTCATCAAATATTAGATTGAATACATCTAACTGTCTTCTACTTCCTCCTAGTTGACGTAAGGCTGCCGCTCTTATACCAGGAGTCATCGTATAGTACCAGATTTTTTGACTATTTCTTCTTTCTTGCCAAAGCCATGGATCTGGTAGTTGATCATCGTCAGAAGTATCATCAATAACTCGTATACATTTTTTTCGAACAGGACTTATATTATCGCTACTGTCACTTTCGGTAGAAGAATTTTTAGCACAAAACATCTTGTGAAAATAAATTTTGACGTGCGAATGTGACCAAGAATAACTTGACGCCACTGAGAACAAGTGGAGGGGGGAAATACGAAGAGATATTAGGTTGATGCATAATTGTTGCGGCTTTTTTTTAATTATTTTTTAAATTAATTTGCGGAAAAACGATGAGAATATTTAACAAAAACATGTTTAACATGTTTTTAAAACAAAGGGTATATTTGAACATGTTTTTCAAGAAAAAAAACCGAAGAAAAGCCGCAATAATTATGCGTCAACCATAATAAGAATATATCACGAGCCCTGTCGGTGCAATTTGTGGTGAGGGTGGTGGGGCAAATTACAAACCGGGACCGTCGTACCACGAGCGATGCCCGTAATATTTACGATTGGCCCGATCATCGTACTTACACAAGTTGTGCGAATGGCTCGAAGGCTGCGCATCTTGTTTACGTTTTCGGCCCAAAATTCTCGAACGTAAGTCGTAGGTTAAGGGGTTAATACCAACATCCTCGGAGGTTATAGCAATTATTATAGCTAAACAGGCCGCTTCGTCAGATGGCATGTTGCCGTATGAAAGCAACACATACAACTGAGGTTTGCATAAAATAGCGCACAGTGTATGGCTAACCATGTTTGTACAACACTTTGTTGCGCAACATCAGGTTGCCCAATATGTATGCAGGTGTATGGGGCCTATTAGGCAATATGTGGTCGAAATTTAGATTTTTTCGATGAACCGTTCCCGTGTAAAAAAATCGCAAAGTCGAGCTTCTTCGCCGATCGTCCGAAATCGTGTACATTTTTTCATCAGTTAACCTCGTTGTGTCAAGCTATCAACATCACAGTAATTTGCATGGTGAAGTTTTGTAGTGTCTCCTGTTAATTTTTCAAGCTTTTATTTGCACCCGCGTGTGCGTGTTGATCTGGTGGGTTTAGTTTGCTTGCCGGCGTCGCGTTTGGTTAATTCCTTGCGGTTTGTTATAACTTATAACTTTTATATTAATTTTGTTATCGTCGAGCGGTGCTGGTCGGTCGCGCTGACGTTTCAACCCGGGAACAGGTATCCCCGTATCGATGTCGGGGTGTAAGGTTTGCTCCGGCCGCTTATCGTCGAAGAGCCCCGGTCTTCACTACGGCGGCTGCCACGGGAACTTCCACACCAAATGCGTCAAAATTCCTTCCGACACCCTCGTTCAAATCAAAGCTGGCGACGTCTTTTGGAAATGCTCCAAATGCCGGAGTAACCTTGATAAATCCGTCATTATCGAGGATGAAACATCTGATCTCTCGTCCTCCAGCGGCCCCAGTAATGCTTAACTGTTTCAGCTCACGTCTTCTATTCAGACTGAGGTGAAGAAATTATCAAGCAAGTACGATGAAATTATTAAATCCATCTCATTCTATGGGGATAAAATCACAGATTTCAAACGGACCCTAAATAAGTTTGGTGATAAAGTCAAACAAATCGACACAGTGGTCGCTGAGAACTTGAAACTCAGGGCAGACTTGGCCGTAACGGAAGGCCGTCTCGATCACCTGAAGCAATATTCACGCTTAAACAACTTAATTATTTCAGGAGTCCCCGAACGTGTGGGCGAAAACCTTGCAGTATTGCTTCTGTTATTGAATCTCCCATTGCACTTTCCGACATTGATGCCGTACATCGATTGCCTTAACCCTTTCACGCATAAGGGACTTATTTGTCCCTACATAATTTTCACGATTTACGGTAATATTGGCTAAGTAAAACCGTTTTTAGGTTTATATTCTTAAATTTTATAGTTTCTTTTAAAATTTTTGCGTTGGCAACACTAAAAAAAAACATTATCTGTCAAAAAAGTGTCCGCCGCGAAAAGTGAAAAATATTTTTGCTAGAAGTCAACATTAAAAAATATTTTATGGTTCTTTAGCGACATTTCACGACCGTTTTTCTTCGAAATTATATTCACAGGTAAGTACAATTATCGTTTTACTACACATTTTCGGTTTTCTTAGTAAAAGTAACCCATATTATGTAAAAAATGTAAAGGGACGCGGGTGTCCCTATATGCATCAAAGGACACTTTTGCTTCAAACTAATAATATTGTTTGCCTTCCTATTATTTTCAGTTTATCATTCTTATTTTCATAGAACAGATCATGTGTTCAAATCGATGTAGAGAGTTTTCGCTGCGCAAAGACGAAATTCTCGGAGTTTTGATGGCTGACAACAGCAACGACGAGGATGGTTTGCTTCTTGATGAAGAGGATCAAACTTTTTTAGCGCAAGATATAGATGCGGGTATTTCGATTGTTGAAATTGAACCAAACTCAGCACCTCTAGGAGAGAACAAAGATGAACAACCTAGCATTAGTGTCCCTTCTTTCAACTGGCGAAAAAATTCATATTCACCGCACAATTTTCGTGAGATCCAAGGGTATAAGTTTGGTGAAGTGTATATTTTAGATAACGCCCACACGTCTGATATGCAACTGACTCCTGTAAAAATTTTCAATGCAGTTGCAGACTTCGAAAAATTGATAGATGAGATTGTTGTTCGTGAATGCATACGTTATGCTGAACAAAAAGGCCGATGTTTTACCATTACAAATGAAGAAGCCAAAGCTTTCCTCGGCATGAACTTTGTAATGGGATATCATTGCTTACTTACATTCAGGAGCTATTGGTCTACAGATCCTGACATGGGAGTTCCTTACATTGCTAATGTGATGCCTATAAACTGCTTTGAAGGAATACGTAGTAACTTACATTTTAGTGAAGTAGTATAGATTCGCCGATTCAAGAACCTCCTCCTCGAACCTGCGTTCTAGGAGGAGGTTCTTGAATCGGCAATTTTTTTGGGGGTCAGAGGAGGTTCGATGAGGAGAGGAGGTTCTTGAATCGGCGATTCTTTTGAGGGTCGGAGGAGATTCGATGAAGAGAGGAGGAGGTCAATTAACTTGAGAANTCCGTCCTTCTGGGGTTACGCTTTAGGTTCTTTCCAATCTTTATGGTACCAAGATCGAAAGTGATCCATCTATGGTCGGACATTGAAACATTGTCGGAAACCGTCCAATTGTGGATCGAAGACGAGATACCCATCGAAGCGAGTGTGATGTCGATGACTGATTGACCTCTAGCGGTTATAAAGGTCGGCTCAGAGCCTCGATTAAGTATATCTAAATTACTGCAAAAAATGAATTCAAGAAGGGACTTACCTCTTCCATTATCATCAGCACTGCCCCAGGCAGTTGAGTGTGCATTTGAGTCACATCCGATGACAAGATTCCAGTTACCTTTCCTCGCGTCCTCGGCCAGCCTTTCCAATCCTTGAGATGGAGGCTGGTCTTCATACGGGAGGTATACTGATGCCATCGTTACTTCCTTAACCTTTCGGTTGATGGTACACCGTACTCTGATCGACGTAACGTCTCTGCCTGTATGCTGAGGCAACAGGTGAGCGTTTGCGTGTTTTGGTACGTAAATGGCAGTTCTGACCTTATTAGTGGCAGGGCAGCTAAAAATAGAACCGCTTAAACCACTGAAACCGCAGACCTTGAATTTTAAAACCCAAGGTTCTTGGATCAGTGCGATAGTGTTAATCATCATATCAAGGTGGCGACAAAGGGTGGCAGTTGCTACCCTACTATGATGTAGGTTGCACTGTACCACCCTTAATTCGTCACCTACCTTGTATACTTCACCTTTTCCGTGCATTATGAAGAGGCGAGTTGATCAGCTGATGCTGTTCTGGGCGGAGGTGTATCCAGCATGGATTCATCTAACTCCTTGCTCGAAGCCGGGGTTTTGGGGTCGGCGTCTAGGTTGATGAGAGTGTCCTCATCTTCTTCAGCGGTTGGAACATCAGCTGTTTCCATCCGCCCTGCCGTTTCTCCCTCCGCGGCTGCTCCATCACCCTGCTCGGGGTCTTTTAATCTGCCGAAGCGGGCCTTTAGGGTGTTGAAAAGGTAGCAGATTCTACCTTCATGGTTTTTAAGCCATTCGGCGTCCTTCTTCGCTGCTCCGAAGACAATGAGGCGACCCGCAGGGTCTGTCCTCACTTCGTAGCGGAAGAGGTACCAGTTGGCGACATCTAGGTGTCTATTTTGGGCCGCTAGTATCTGAAGTGTCTGTTCCCTGGTGTTCACATCCACATCAGTATCGGGAATCCAAATTTGGATTCTAGAGAGGGTAGGAAGATCAACTTCCCTGACAACGCTTAATACTACGCCCTCTAGTGGCGGTATCAGCGGTACTGCAGCCTTCAACCACGTTAGAGAGTGATCATCATTGCAGGCGACCTTTAAGATCTGGCCTGCATAGACCATCGATCTAAACGTTGGTATAGGTGTTTGTTGTTTAGGGTCGAGCTGAGTAATTACTTCAACCAAAGCGTTCGTCAGCTCGTATTTAACGTGACCGGCCTCAGTCTCGCTGAGTTTACCAGCTGATTTTGGCCGTTAATAACGGCAACCTTAAGGTGCGACATCAGCGCGTCCTTAAAGCCTTTTTTAGGGCCCTGTTGAGCCGGTTTATACAAGGCAGATTCCTGCCTCTTCCTCTTCGATTCCCTCAGTGAGGGTTCGGTAGAGGTGGCGGATCGCTGCCTCTTGGGTTGCGCCCTCGCCTGTCGACAGCCCTATCTCTCTCCTTCCTTCTCCTGTTAAGTTCGGACCCACACGGTCTATGCCGGTGTCTACGGTGGCGGACTTCTATGAATTCCTCGCCTCCGGACGGTCCGGCTTGCGGTGTGGATGCCGCCGCTGGCTTAGGGGTTGAGCTTCCTGAGCTCATTCCCCCTGTAAAAATGAGAAAACACACGCCTACTTTGTCGCTACGATCAACCAGCCCGAACAAAAGTCGGGCGGTTCACGTGCGAAAAGTTAGGTTAAGTTAAGTTATGTTAACGTATGCGGGTTATCAACGATAAAACGTACTTACCCCGCAAATAAGTAATGAAAATATTACTTTGTGCAGTGCACACGACACCTACTTACGTGAATTGACACGTTAAAGCAATCACGGCACTGAAAAACTCTTAAAACACTCGAAAATCGCGGAGAGTTTTCTTTTCGCGTCCTTACGCAGCCGCAGCCAAGATGGCGATCATCAAGACATAGTTATCTCCATGGTTTACCACAACTTCCCGGAAATCCCCCCTATTTCTTCTTTCATGTAAACATCCTCTTTTTCATAAAAGATATAATTATCTTTATGGTCTACCGCAACTTCCCGGAAACCCCCCCTATTTCTTCTTTCATGCAAACATCCTGTTTTTCATAAAAGACATAATTATCTTTATAGTCTACCACAACTTCCCGGAAATTTATATCTAAACATAATGTTTTTATAAAAGGATAGTCATCTTTATGGTCTACCGCAACTTCCCGGAAACCCACCCTATTTCTTCTTTCGCGTCAACATCCTGTTGTTCATAAAAGAGGTAGTTATCTTTATGGTCTACCACAACTTCCCGGAAATCCCCCCTATTTCTTCTTTCATGCAAACATCCTGTTTTTCACAAAAGACATAATTATCTTTATAGTCTACCACAACATCCCGGAAATTTATATCTAAACATCCTGTTTTTATAAAAGGATAATCATCTTTATGGTCTACCGCAACTTCCCGGAAACCCACCCTATTTCTTCTTTCGCGTCAACATCCTGTTGTTCATAAAAGAGATAGTTATCTTTATGGTCTACCACAACTTCCCGGAAATCCTCCCCTATTTTTTCTTCTCAACCAATGAAAGTTGTGTAAACATCCTGTTTGTTATTTCTAGATAAGTCGAAATGACGTGAAATTTAGGTATATAAGGCGGCTTTTAATTTTGAGTATTCTAGTTAAAATCAAAACTGCTATACCAAGTATGTCACTATCGCATTTAAATAAGTTGGGGCTCTGTGAATTCCCACAGAAAAAGAAATTGGTGGATTTGGGCGTTAAAATTCCTCATCCTATAAAACAAGCAAAACGTGTGACAACGTTGAAATGGCCATCGGTTGTTCTCGAATTAGAGGATGGTTTTTCGGTGTTTTTACCGAAACGGATGGCTGAAGAGATGACTGATGAAGACATCCAGTCGCTAAGTTCAATGTGCATCATCTATGAAGGGGAGAAAGAAGTTGGACAAGTCGACAATGCGCACCTAGTATGCAGTATCGTTTTGTGAAAAGTCTTCTCAACCAAATTAAGTTAACATACTATTTTTTTAGCAATAAAATTACATTTATACGCTAATATTATTCTTTTTTTATTTCAAACATATTAAATTTACATTATTTTTATTTCAATCCTATAATCTCATGCTATGTTGCTCTACTACTACACCATCCTCAATTCTGATATGTTCCTAGATATGTTTCACAATTAACACAATAATGATTAGGGCAACCAAAAATATGCTCAAAAAATGATAGTTTAAGCGCTTAAAAAATGCTGTATAAAAATCAAAATATGCTGTTTAAACATGAAAATATACTCTATAAAAAAGAGTCTTTTCCAAATATTCCTATCAAATTTAAAATGTAGTTGTCTTTTAAATCTGTAGGCGAAGTTAAACAAAATAAAGTAGAAATGATTTCTATTTATATCTCGAGACATTTATTAGTTTGACATGTTTAAACTAAAAGACAATTAGAAAATATTGAACATTATACAAAAGACAAATAGAAAGAAATAGATAATAGAACAAATACAGATTCAACTTAAATTTTGATTACAATAAATGACAAACATCTCACTTAAATTATCAAAAAGGAAGCTTTGTCTGTTTGCACGTAAAACATTCTTGTACATTGAAAAACTTCGTTCCACTTCCACTGAAGTTATAGGTGCAAACTTAAATGCTAGTATTTCACTAACAGTGTATTTATTGTTTTTTATTTCTGTAGATCCTGTACTTAAACATGTAGAAATTTCTTTCAAAATAGAAAATCCATGATTTTTTGAAATACACATATCCATTTTTTTCTTTAGTGGCTTAGCAGTTTCACTGTTTATTAGAAAGCGAAAGCCCAGTTGTTTCCAATGTTTTTATTGACGCACAAAGGAAGCCATAATTTGATGCAATGAAAATCAAATCTGATTTTATTGTATTGTCATTTAGTAAGGCCTTTGAAATTTTGATTGACGCAGCGTCCTCTTCGTCTAATGCATCAAACACATTCCTAATTATTTCGAAATTAGTTGCATAGTACTTTGCCGCTTCAATCCATGTTCCCCAGCGAGTAGTTACCGGTTGTGGAAGAAGAACAATACTAGGCGCTATTTCCTTAAAAATTGCTACTCTTGATGGCGCTTTTAAAAATACTTTTTTCACATTGGTGATAAGCCGGTCGATGTTACTGTATGTACCTCGAATTTGCTCACAAACTCGATGAAGTCCGTGTGCAGCACAAGTCAAGTGTGTCACTTTTGGATAAAACGTTTGTATCGCCTTTGCTGCTTTTACCATGTAGGGAGCAGCATCTGATACAAAGAGTAAAATCATATCTCTGTTGAAAGTCTCACCCAAAATCTTAACAGACTCATCGAAATGTCTTGCAATAGTGCTATGATTTGCTTTATCAAGCACTGCTGTATTTAACAAAAATTTTTGTTTCGCAATCGACTCATCATTATCCAAAATACCAATGATGACATTTGCCACATATCTTCCTGTTGCATCTGTGGTTTCGTCAATTGAGAGCCACAAGAAGCGACCGTTGATACATTTTCGTATGTGTTCTATGGTATTTTGGTAAAGTTCCTTAAAATACTTTGTGCGAAGAGTAGTTTCAGATGGTACTTTGTACTTTGTGTATGACTCTAGGAACGATACTAACTTTTTGTTACGCATTTTATATAGAGGTATGTCAGCTGAAATTAGTGCGCTACATAGATCTTCTGTAAGTTGAATATCTTTTGATTTGGATGTGGAACATTCAGCAAAAAAAGGCTGAGTAGTTTTCTTCTCATTATTTTTTTTCTCTAATTCTATGTGTTTTAAACTTGCTAGATGCTGTTTTACCGAGAATATTTTTTCGGCTGACACAGATTTGTTGCACACTTTGCAAAAAAGTACTTACCATCAGTTTTGAATACAGGATATTCACGTACATATTGAGATAACTTTTCTAACATGGACGACTTTACTTTCGGCATAATTCTACAATAATTTCCAATTAGTACTACTGCTACAATTTCAAATAAATTTTTACTCATATTTACTCTGTTCTAATCACTTCAAATTTAAATTTATAATGCTTACACACGCGATGTATACGAGAACACCCAACGATCTTAACCTTCCGTTGGTCGCGTGTATCGTTTTCGAAACTTGATGTTTCGACGTGTTCATTCGATACGTAGAAAATATAAACAGATTTTTTTAATGCTTAAACTAAAGTAAAGTAAACTAAAGATTTCTCTATTCGAATGTCGATAATTTAGTATTCTTTAAAGAATTGAATAACTTTACCGTAACTTTATATCGAATTGAAACTTATTGCAAAATAAAATTTTGAAAATATGCATTAAAAATATTCGTTTATTTCCAAAAATGTTATATAATTTGAAAATATGCAATATATGCTCGTACAGATAAAATAAGCAAAAATATGCTCTAACAAATACGGCTCAAAATTCATAGATTGATTTCAAACAAATTTCTATCTAGTCCATTTTATTCTGGAGGGTATGAAAAAAAATATACGTTTGCATATTTTTGATTGCCCTAATAATGATCAATGTTCATACACGTGTCTATTGAGTATGGTATCCAAATACAAGGCCAGCATCTATAATTTAAATATTTATTAAATTTCAGAATCTCTTTTTACTATAATTTATTTACCCTAACAAACA